GAATTAATAACTAAACTCAAGGAATTCTGGAGTGCTTTGCAGGATCATCCATCAATCAGATTTCCAATGAACTGAGTGGATGCATGCTCAACTCACACTCATAAATGGCAAACCATTCGTATGATACACTTACATGGGATGATTTAACTTACACGAGGATGACTTTCCTTTTCCCAAAGCCACAGACTGATGCTGCCTCAACCTTGCACAGCCAGAGAATGAGGAGTTCTTGGTGAAGACATTCTCGGGATAAGCCAAGATTCCCATGAAACATCTAAATGGTTGCCATTTAAACTTCTCCTGACTGAACCTCTTTCTAAGTTAATTGTACACAGCTCTGTCTTTTTTAAGAGCAGGCACTCAACAGAGTTAAGGCTTTTCTCAACATTTCAGGGTCGTTCATGTATTCCTTGGTTGTTCACTAGATGACAGGCACTGTTCTAGCAAGAATAACAACGGTGGCCAAGACAGACATGGTCACTGTCTTACAAGTGAGGAAAATCACTCTAATAAATATACCCATAATTCGTCATAGTTGGGACACAGGCAAGAAGGAATATAACATTATGACACTCTGGAGGTATATAAGAGGGGATCTGAAAGAGAGAAAAGGAGACAAGAAAGGTTTATTTGAGGAAGCGATGTTAGGTTAAGACTAGAGGAGGGTAGGAGGAAGTCAGTGGAGAAGATGGAAAGGAACAGAGCTTCAGGCAGAGAGGCCATTGTGAAGGTGGGAGGTAGGTAAGAAGAGATGTGGCTAAGGGAAGCCAGTATGGCTGGAGCAGGGCCACGTGAACAGTGGCCATTGGTTTGGACTGAATGCACAGGTCCCCTCAAGGCTACTGCAGGGGTCAGGAACCGATGGGCAGATCTGCCTGTCAAACTCAAGACAGACACCAGCTACTCATAGAGTGCTCTGCAGTGTGGGTGCTTAGGGATGGCTCACCTGGGTTGAGTGCCATATTCTGTCAGGTTCCTGCTTTTCAGAGCTGCCACACAACTACAGGATGATAAACTTGGAAAGCTCCAAAGAAACCATCTAGAGCAGGAGTTATAATCCTGGTTGCACCATAGAATCACTTGGGACGCTTAGAAAAATACCTGTACTCAGACCCTACCCCAGATCAATTAAATATCCAGACAAGGGATTATGGTGTGGGTGTTTTGTAAAGCTCCTAGGTGATTCTAATAAGTAGACAGGGTCGAGAATCGCTATCCTAGTGCAATCCTCCTTTTTTCACAAATTAAAGAACAGAAGCCCCTCTACACAATTATTAATTTTAGAAATGTGCCCATGTTCACATTATACACAATAGAGAGTGAAGAAGGAATAGAAGTCATAGAAATCTCATGTTTAAAATATGGTAATACTAAGGGGAACGTGGAGCCCACTCCCTCTTGCTTCATTCAAAAAAAGCAGTGTTAAAAAGGGTTATTTATGAGTTTTATTATAGGAAGAAAACAGTATTATGGACAGCCACATGCAAGAGAATAAAGTTGGACCCCCTTCCTTACACCACACACAAAAATTAACTCATAATGGATCAAAGACTTAAATGTAAGCTAAATTTTTTTTTTTAAATCCCAACTCTTAGAAGAATACATAGGAGTAAATTTTCATGACCTTGAGTTAAGCACAACCTTCCTAGATACCACATCAAAAGCCCAAACCACAAAAGAAAAAACAGATGAAATGCACTGCATTAAAATTAAAAGTTCTGTGATACAAACAATACCATCAAGAAAGTGAAAATACCCACAGAATAAGTGAAAATATTTGCAAATCATATTATCTGATAAGGAGCTTATATCCAGAATATAAAAAGAACTCTTTCAACTCCATAATGAAAAGATAAATAACCTAATTTAAAAATGGGCAAATAATCTGAATAGCCATTTCTTCAAAGAAGATCTATAAATGGCCAGTGAGCACAGGGAAGGATGCCTGACATCATTAGCTATTAAGGAAATGGAAATCAAAACCACAGCAGCATACCACTTCACACCCACTAGGGTGGTTATAATAAAAAAGACAGAGAATGTGGTGAGGTGTGGAGAAATTGGAACCTTTGTATATGTTGGTGAGAGTGTAGCCACTTTGGAAAACAATCTATCAGTTCCTCAAAATGTCAAACATGGAGTTACCATATGACCCAGCCATTCCACTCTTAAGTGTATACCCAAGTACATATGCCCACATAAAATTCTGTACACCAGTGGTCCCCAGCCTTTCTAGCACCAGGGACAAGTTTCATGGAAGACAATTTTTCCACAGACTGGGGGAGGGGGATGGTTTCAAGATGATTCAAGCACTTTACATTTATTTTGTACTTTATTTCTATTATTATTACATTGTAATATACAATGAAATAATTATACAACTCACCATGATGTAGAATTAGTGGGAGCCCTGAGCTTGTTTTCCTGCAACTAGACAGTCCTCTCTGGGGGTGATGGGAGACAGTGACAGATCATCAGGCATTAGATTCTTATAAGGAGCGTGTAGCTTAGATCCTTCGCATGTGCAGTCCACAACAGGGTTCGTGCTCCTATGACAGTCTAATGCCTCTGCTGATCTAACAGGAGGTGAAGCTCAGGAGGTAACGCAAGCAATGGGGAGCAGCTATCAATACACATGAAGCTTCACTCAATACCCACCACTCACCTCCTACTGGGCAGCCTGGTTCCTAACAGGCCATGGACAGCTATTCCTGCTATAGACGAATGTTGGGGACCCCTGCTGTATATTAATGTTCATATCAACAGCATTCATAAGAGCAAAAAAATAAACAACCCAAATGTTCATCAACTGATAAATGGATAAACAAAATGTAGCATATGCGTGCAATGGAATATCATTCACCATAAAAAGGAAGTCTTGATATATACTACAACATAAATGAATCTTGAAAACATTATGCTAAGTGAAAGAAGCCAAAAGACCACATATAGAATGATTTCATTTATATGAAATGTCCAGAAAAGGCAAATCTATAGAGACAGAAAGTAGATTAGCAGTTACCTAGGGCAGGGAGGGTGGAGGGAGATGGGGAGTGGTCACTACACTAGTGCCCACGCTAGTGGATACAGGGTTTTAGGATGATGAAAATGTTCTAAAATTAATTGTGCTGAAAATTGTACAACTCTTGTGGACACACTAAAAACCATTGAATTGTACAGTGTAAATGAGTGAATTGTATGGTCTGTGAATTGTATCCCAATAAAGATGTTTTTAAAAAACAGTATTAGCCAGATGTGGTGGCACTCACCTATAATCACAGAGCTTTGGGAGGCCGAGATAGGAGGATCACTTGAGGCCAGGGTTTTGAGATCAAAACCCTGGGCAACACTGTGAGATCTCATCTCTACAAAAACACTTTTTAAATTAGCTGGATGTGGTGGTGTGCTCCTGTAGTCCTAGCTATTCAGGAGGCTGAGGCAGGAGGATTACTTGAGTCCTAGAGGTCAAGACTGCAGTGAGCTATGATTGCACCACTGTACTCCAGCCTGGGTAACACAGCAAGACCCTGTCTCTAGCAAAACAAAACAAAAACAGTGTTATCTCTTACTTCCTTATTCAGATGGAATTGGGCCATTGGTCTCTTATGTTTTATGGTTTCCATTCTTTTCCTTCTTTTCACATTTCAATCCCACTCATCTATCTGGATTTATGTTTCTTCTCTGCTCAGGCTCCCTCTCCTCCCTTTCTCTCTTTCTTCTCTCTCCCTCTCTCCCTCCCTCCTCAAGAAAAGAATTGCAGGATATTCTCAGAAGCATTGTCTTTGCAGATTTGCTCATGCAGAGAACTGATATGTCATCAAGCTAGTGGCTTTCCAGTGAGTCAATGAGCAACAATTGAGCTTCAGGGCTTCCTCCTGGTCAAAACTGAGTTAGGCCAGGTGCAGTAGCCAAGGTGGGAGGATCACTTGAGCTCAAGAGTTCAAGGCCAGCCTGGACAACCTAGCAAGACCCCCTCTCTACAAAAAATCAAAAAAATAGCCAGGCATGGTGGCACACGCCTGTGGTCCCAGCTATTTGGGAGGCTGAAGTGGGAGAATCACTTGAGCCCAGGAGGCTGCAGTGAGCATGATTGCACCACTGCACTCCCAACCTGAGTGATAGCAAGACCCTGTCTCAAAAAATAAAATTTAAAAATTAAAACTATGAGTTACCCAAGTATATTGTGCACAACACTTAGATTTTGTCTTCAAAGAAAATAAAAGGGGCAAAGGCCTCATTCCTAAGGCATTTAGAGCCTATGGCCATACTGATTCCCTGGGAAGTGGAACGGTTTAGGAAGAAGACTTTTCTGAAATATTTTCTTACCTAAGTACCCTATCCCCTAAACAGGGTCAACTAAAGTTAAGGCAAATAATGACAAGAAGAAGACACCCAATGGAAGCAGGGGGACTGCGTTTCCCAAGTGCGACAGATGCCATTTTCCAAAAACCGCCGCAGCAACGTTTCTGATCCCACATGGATTTCCTGATTATTGGACAATCCTCTTAAGAAAGGTGGAGTCTAATTCCCTTCCCCTTGAGTATCCTGCTCAGTCCCCTTGAGGATTTCTTCTAAGGAATAAAATCTAGTGGAAGTGATGCTGTGGTTTCTGATGTGAGGTTAGAAAAAGTGATACAGCTTCTATCTGGTTCTCTCTCTCTCTCTCTCTCTCAGTCTCTCACATACTCTCTCTCTCCCTCCCTCCCCTTGGGACCCAGCCTCCTTGCTATGAGGAAGCTCAGGCCTCATGGAGAGGCCATGCAAGTGTATTCCAACAAGTTCCCCAGCTAAAGTCTCATACCACAGCTGACATTAATTTCCAGGCATGTGACTGAGAGAGTGCGAGAGCCTTCATGTGACTTCAGTCCCCAGCCTCTATGCCCACCCCAGCTGACAACAAGTGAAACAGAGCCATGTTATCCCTGCCAGGCCCTTCCCCAGCTGTGGATTCCTGAGGAGTTAGTTACATGTTGCTGCATAACAAGTTACCCCACAACCAACTGGCTCGAGATATTTATTTTCTCATAGCCTCTTTGCTAACCTAGTGTTTCAGGACTGTGGGCACGGCTCAGCTGGGTCCTCTGTGTCAGTGTCCTTCACAGGTGGTAATCAAGACGTTGGCTGGAGCTTTCATTGCCTCAAGGTGGGAAGGCGACGCTTCCAAGCTCACTCAGGTGGTTGCTGGCAGGGTTCATTTCCTTGAGGCCTGCGGAATTATGGCTTTCAGCTCCTTGCCATGTGGGTCTCCCCAGCATGATGGCTTACTTCACACAAGCCAAGAAGGCAGTAGAGTGAAAATGATAGCAACACTAAAGTTTCAGTCTTTTATAAGCTAATCACGGAAGCAACATCCCATCTCTGTTGCCATATTCTATTCATTGGAATCAAGTCACGACATCTATCTCATGCTCCAGAGGAAGGGATTATCCAAGGGTGAGAATCCCAGGAGCCATATCAGAAACTGCTTCTGCACTGAGAAAAATGAATGTTTTGCTTATTTTAATCGACTAGGTTTTGGGATACTTTGTTATGCAGTGTAAGATAATGGGAAAACACCAAAACACAGAGAGGAAGAATTAGGTAAGAAAACTGTACTTGTTGAAATATTTACTTTATTCCAGGATCATTTCACAGATGGCAGAACTAAGGCTTAGAGAGGTGACTTGCCAAAGCTATTAGTGGTAGAATGAGGATGAAAACCAATCCTGTTAGACTTCATAGTCCATGACCTTCTCACATTTCCACTCTACTTCTGTCCTTTGAAGAAAAACAAAATCCCAAACCATTTCAATATTAAATGGTGTTTTACCAATGACCTTTCTTTAATCCTCAAATTTAACCAGCAGAGACTATTTCTGGGTACACTCCCCACCCACACCTCTTCAACTCCTAGTTACAAAGGACTTTCATCTTCATGCAAATTCTGTATTTTATGAAGCTGGCAAGACCAGTCCACCATGCTTAGCTACATTTTTTTCCATAAAAACAAGCTTTCTGGAATACTATCACTTGCCATAGTGAGGACATAGATTCCAGGAAGTTGGTTTCAAATGCTAAAAAAAGAACATGAGGCAGACATCTGCTTGAGGAGAGAATGTAAAACCCAACTGCTCCTGCTGCTAGTGTCTCTAGGCCGCCAGCCCCGCCCCTGCAAGGGTGGTTCAGGCTAAACACATTAAAAACTTCTTTCAAATTGATTCAAGGATACAGGATAGAAGGGAGGCTGACTTTTTACTGCAAATCTTTTTGTGCAGAATTTCAAAACATATTATGTGCTCGCTAATTATCTTTAAAATTCTGCTTAGAGCCGGGTGCAGTGGCTCATGCCTATAATCCCAACGCTTTGGGAGGCTAAGGCAAGGCAGATCACTTGAGGTCGGGAGTTCAAGACTAGCCTGGCTAAAATGGTGAAACCCCGTTTCTACTAAAAATACAAAACAAACAATTAGCCAGGCATGGCGGCATGTGCCTGTAATCCCAGCTATTTGGGAGACCGAGGCAGAAGAATCACTTGAACCCAGGGGGCAGAGGTTGCAGTGAGCTGAGATCACGCCATTGCACTCCAGCCTAGGCAACAAGAGCAAAATTCCATCTCAAAAAAAAAAAAAAAAAAGTTCTGCTTAGAGACTAATCTTGGTTGACAGATTTCTATCAAGGGAAACTGAGGCATTTTTCAAGATGGATTCGATAGTCCTAGTATCTTCTCTAGTGCTGATTCTGTGCTGCTCTAAGCATCCAAGATGAGCTTAAGCCTAGGCACCCAGCAGGGACAGAAAGGGCAGAGAGGTGGTCTTTGCAGGGGCACCCTGCCTGCTTGCTGGGGAGACAAGTAAGGTTATTCCAGAAGCAGCAGATTACTCAAAGCCAAACCTTAGAGGCTCATGGACTGAGTGATATTCTAAAAGATGGACCAGAACAGAAGATGACCACACTCTTCTGCAGTCTATAGTGGTAATGGTGGTAAGAATAATGTGAATTACTATTTATTAATTAGGGTGCTTACTTAGTCCATTAACATTTAATTTAATTGTTGATAGGATTGGAGCTAAGTCTATCTTTTCATTACCTATCATCTGTTTATCTCTTCTCAGTTTTTGTTCCCCTGTTCCTCCTTTCCTTCCATCTTTGGACTATTGCAGTATGTTCTAGAATTACATTTTAATGCATCTATTGACTTCTTAGCTAGAACCATTTGCATTATTTTTTGGAGGTTACACTAGGGATTACAGTGTGCATCCTTAATCTTTCACAGAGTTGACACTGTGTCCCTTCCCATAAAATTTGGATGCTTTACAACTGTACAGTTCCATTTATCCCTCACCCCACCCCACTCACAGGACTCCCTATGCTGTAACGGCCATTTATATTATATCCACATATTCTGTAGCCTGCAAGAAACACTATGCTTTCTTTTTTAAATAGTCATATGTGTGTAGGTATGTATATATTTGTGAGAGGGTCTCATTCTGTCACTCAGGCTTGAATACAGTGACATGATCAAAGCTCACTGCAGCCTCAACCTCCTAGGCTCAGGTGATCCTCCCACCTCAGCCTCCTGAGTTGCTGGGTCCACAGGCATGTGCCACCACACCTGGCTAATATTTGGATTTTTTGTAGAGATGACGTTTCACCATGTTGCCCAGGCTGGTCTCAAATTCCTGGGCTCAAGCAATCCACCTGCCTCAGCCTCCCAAAGTGCTGGGATTACAGGTGTGAGCCACCGTGCCTAGCCAAAATAGTCATTATGTATTTCAAGGAAATTGAAATTAAAAAATAATATTATGGCCAGGTACAGTGGCTCACACCTGTAATCCCAGCACTTTGGGAGGTTGAGACAGGGAGATCACTTGAGGTCAGGAGTTTGCGAGCAGCCTGGCCAACATGGCAAAACCCCATCCCTACTAAAAATACTGAAATTTGCTGGGTGTGGTGGTGCACACCTATAGTCCAAGCTACTCAGGAGGCTGAAGCAGGAGGATCACTTAAGCCTGGGAAGTGGAGGTTGTAGTGAGCCAAGAGTGTCCCACTGCACTCCAGCCTGGGCAACAGAAGAGAAACCCTGTCTCAAATAATAATGATGATGATGATGATAATAATAATAATAATAATATATTTACCCAGATATTTACCATTACTGATGCTCCTTATTCTTTCCTAGAGGTCCAAGTTTCTCTCTTACATAATTTCCTTTCAGCTTAAAGAATGTCCTTTGCTTTTCTTCCAGTGCAGGTCTGTTGGAAATGTGAAAAATAAATAAATGTCTATTTTTTTTTTTAAGAATATGTTTGCTGGGTACAGAATTTTGAGTTGACGGGTTTTTTTTTTTCTTCTTTCAGACCTTTAAAGATGGTGTTCCACTATTTTTTGGCCTCCATGTTTTCTTATGAGAAATCTGTGGATGTTAAGATTATTGTTCCCCAGAATATCATGTGTTGTTTTCTCTGGATGCTTCCAAATTTTCTCTTTATCTTTGATTTTCTATGGTTTCACTCTAATGTATCTAGATGTGGTTTTCTTTGCACTTATCCTACTTGAGGTTTACCACATTTTTTGAATCTATACATTTATATCTTTCACCAGATTTGGAAAATTTTCAGCCACTATTTCTCTAAGTATTTTTTCTACCCCATTCTTTCTCTCCTCCTGCTCTGAGACTCTTAGTACACATATATGTGTCCTACAGCTCCTGGCAGTTTTGTTCATTTTTTTAACATTTTTTTCTCTTTCTTCTTCAGATTAGATAATTTTCATTGATGTACCTTTCTGTTCACTGATGCTTTTTGGGGGTTGGGGGGTGGGGGACATCTCCATTCTGCTATTAGGTCCACACTGTTATGAACTCTATAAATTTTTTTAGTTCAAATGTGCTATTTTTCAGCTCTAGAAAATTCATATGGCTCTTGTTTATATTTCCTGTTTCTCTGTTGAGTTTTCCTATCTTTTCAATCATATGAATACATTTTCCATTACCTCATTGAGCATGCATATAATAGTGGCTTCAAAGTTCTTATGTGATCATTCTAGCAGGGTATCTTACAATTGACCTCCATTGATTGTCTTTTTACTTAAGAAAAGTCATATTTTTTTGGTTCTTTGAATGTCAAAGTTATTTTGGATTGCACCATAGACTGTGAATTTTATATCATGGAGATTCTAAACTCTATTATATTCTTCCAAAGAATGCTAATGCTATTGTTTTAGAAGACAATTAACTTGATAGACTCAAATTTCAGTTGAATTGCCTTAAGTAGATAGCAATTCAAATCTCAGTTCAGTTCCATTAGTCTTTGCTACAAGCACATGTATGGTACAAGGGTTAAAAATTCCCTCAATTTGGATATCTGAGTTCATGCACAGAACTTAGAGTTGCTCTTTTTGGCTCTCCTCTTTCTGGGATTATCCTTGCATGTTCCAGCGGTTGTGGCTACCCCAGGCTCTGTCCTCTAACATTTCAGGCCAGAAAAGTGATAGATTTTCTATCAGAGTTTTAGTCACTCCATACAATGCCATAGCAAGCAGTTTTCAGCCTGAAGCCATTAGAACAGAAAATTCACCATGTGCCAGTCTGTTTTTCCAAGTCTCAACTCCCTTCCAAATTCTCCCTGATTTTTCTCACTCTGCAGAGGCTTCAAGTCATTGCTTTTTTGTATTTTTTCCAGAATTTATTGTTATTATTTGTAGGATTACAAGTTTATCAGGAGCTCATCCCACCAGATCAGAAATGGAACCAGCTACTATTTTTTAAACCTCCTCCATGTACCCATTTATGCCTCTCTTTTCAAGTTTTTTTTTCACTTTTAAATGTTTTCTTTTATAAAAGTAAAGTATACTCAGATAAGAAAAAATCATATAGTACAGAGTAGAACAGAGAATAAAAATTAGTCTTTCAATCCTCTTCAGACACCTCCCCCAACTCCAGCTCCACTCCCCATCAGTAAGTATATGTATATTGAAATCTTCTACACTAAATAAATCATACTATAATAAATGTGATTTTTATTTTTTGTTAATTTCCAAATCATTACAAATAAAATGATTTTATTTCCTTTCATTGGCTATATAGCATTTTATTACATGTATGTGTAATAATATTTATGTGCCACAATGTATTTAATGTGATCCCTTCTAACTGACATTTTAGTATTTCTCCATTTTTCACTGTTACGAATCATGCTGCAGCAAACATTCTTGCACATATATTTTTACACATTTGACAGAGTATATAAAATCCTAAAAATGACATTGCCTGCACAAAGAATAAGTATATTTTAAATTTAGATTTCAACTTTTAAAATAATGCTTTTGACCTAAAGCATTCTGACTTTCGAAAGCAGTGTTTTGCCTAAATGCTGTAAGGTACAAGACAAAGAGAACTACACAAACATTGTGTCTTCATTAGTAAATTTGTTTCCTATAGGGATACTGTTAGATTCTGAAACTGTTTTATATATAGACTAGGGTTGAACAAATAAGTAAATATATTACAGAAATGAGAATCAAGTTTCTCACTATTGGACAAAGAAGTTACAAATAAGCAAAGGCAGAAAACTGTAATGAACCCTGTTGCATTGAATTAGTGTTAGAGATATCAGCACAAACTAATTTATGATTATCACAATAAAGATTAGATAGATAGATAGATAGATAGATAGATAGATAGATAGATAGATAGATAGATTCATATTTCTCTGTCTACTGAAAGGACTTAGAAACAGTGACATCCCAATAGCAATGTGCACATCTAATAGCAAGATTTTGGTTTCTAAATACCATTTCCCAGTAAAAGGAATCAGGGCTCCTTGGAGAAATGGTTGAACCAGAGTTGGAGTAAGAAAACTACAAGATGAACTAAGAGTATCCTGTGGTACCAGAAAGAAAGAAAGTGTTCAAAAAAAATTATGGGGTCATGTCAAAGGACACAAGCCACTCTAAAAAGGCTCCCAATACCAAAGAATGAAATAAATAAATGATTGCATAAACAAATAAACTCCAACTAATAGCTGGGCATGCTGGCACATGCCTGTAGTCCCAGCTACTCAGGAAACTGAGGTAGGAGGATCACTTGAACCCAGGAGGTTGAAGCTGCAGTGAGCTGTGATCATGCCACTACACTCCAGCCTGAGTGATAGAGCGAGACCCTGCCTGTAAAAAAATAATAATAATTCCAACTAATAAATGTAGAACAAATGAGAAAAATAGAAGATCGCCATTAGAACATCACAATTACAATTACTGTAAGCAGAAGCTGGCTCCACCTCTGAATTAATGCTAACATTAACAGGTGAAAGTTTAAGAAAAAAAAACAGGACGTATATTCAAAATATCTTCCTGAAAATACTTATTAGTTACTGTAGTGAGACATGTTAACAAATTCTTTGATACGTCTCCCTTGGAGGTAGACCTTAATTTCTCTCTCCTTGAGTATGGGCTGGGACATAGTGACTCTCTTCTAACAGAGTGTTAAGGAGAGGAAAATATTAACTTTGTCATGGATAAAGCTGACGGACACCACCTAAATCGAGTGATCAAAGTTAACATCACCATAGTAAGACCTAGTGACACCACACAACCCCTGATGCCATGCACTGAGAAGGACACATCACCTCTGTGGTCTTCCTCCCAAAATTCTATCACCTCACTCTAACCAGCAGAAACCATCAGACAAATCCAAATTGAGGGACATTCTACAAAATATCAGAAAAGGACTTCTAAAAAGTGTTGAGTCGACAAAAGAAAATTCTGGGGAACTAGGCTGGGCACGGTGGCTCACGCCTGTAATCCCAGCACTTTGGAAGGCCGAGGCGGGTGGATCACGAGGTCAGGAGATCAAGACCATCCTGGCTAACACGGTGAAACCCTGTCTCTACTAAAAAAAATACAAAAAATTAGCCGGGCGTGGTGGCGCCTGTAGTCCCAGCTACTCAAGAGGCTGAGGCAGGAGAATGGCATGAATCTGGGAGATGGAACTTGCAGTGAGCCGAAATTGGGCCACTGCACTACAGCCTGGGTGACAGAGCAAGACTCTGTCTCAAATAAATAAATAAATAAAATTCTGGGGAACTGTCACAGTTTGGAGGTGATTAAAGTAAGCATAGAGATTAACATAACATGGTAATCTGGATTGGATCCTGGAACAGAAAGGGACATATGTAGAAAAAGTGGGAAAATCTAAATGAAGTCTGTAGTTTTGTTAATAATATGGTCCCAATGTTAATACTCTCTTAGTTTTTATCATTGTACCATAGTGATGTAAAATGTTAGCATTAGGAGAAGCTGGATGAAGAGCACACCGAACCTCTCTAAACTTTCTCAGCAACTCTTCTATACATTTAGATTATTTCAAAATAAAATATGTTTTAACACCTGATCTTAGCCAAAAGGCTGAGAAGCAATTTTTTTTTTTTTTTTTTTTTCTTGAGAGAGTGTCTCGCTCTGTCACCCAGGCTGGAGTGCAATGGCAGGATCCTGGCTCACTGCAACCTCCACCTCCTGGGTTTGAGCAATTCTTGTGCCTCAGCCTCCCAAATGACTGGGACAGGCATGCACCACACCCAGCTAATTTTTTTTGCATTTTTAGTAGAGATGGGGTTTCGCCATATTGGCCAGATGGTCTCCAACTCCTGGCCTCGAGTGATCTGCCCACCTTGGCCTCCCAAAGTTCTGGGATTACAGGCATGAGTCGCCACACGTGGTCAAATAAAAGGTGTTTTAAAATAGTTGCTCCAGTCTGTAGTCCCACCAAGGACTACATATGAGATAAGAATAAGACTACATATGAGATAAGAATCTCCTCACATCCTCCCCAACATTGAGAATTATTAGACTTTCAATATTTGCCAATTTGATGGGTAAAATGGGATCTGGCTATTTTGAGTCCTAATTCATTCATTGAGAGAGAACCTGAGCATCTTTTCATGTGCACTTCATCCATTTACATTGCTTTTTCTGTGAGATGCCTATTCAATGTTATTCCTGTTTCTACAGCATCCCTACATAAGTACTATTATTCCCATGTTACAGCTAAGAAAACTGAGGCTCAGTATGGTTGAAAAACTAGCCTCAAACCTCCCCACTAATAAGTAAAGGAGTGAGCTTGAACCCAGATCTATCCAGCTCCAAATTCCACACCCTGTCCAATACCTAGGGTAAGTTGGGACTTTGCCTCATCTTCCTGCTGTTTCCTGAGATAAAGAGTAATCAAATGACAGAGGCTTCTTCGTCTGATGCAGTT